TTTTTTTTATATGAACTGGGATGATAGGGAGGAAAATATGCAACAATGAATGAACAAAAATCTAACTTTTCTATAAATGTTCTTTAAAATCAAAATTAAAAGAAAATGTGCAGAAAGTACACAGGCTTTTGGTACCTTGTATGGGGTTGATTTTGGTAAGAAGTCTCTTCTTTCCAAATTCCTTTTCTGACATAGGCTTTAATGTGACCATAATAGTTCCTCTGGCCTTTATGGCCTATTTGAGTTCATGACGACACTGAGATGACAGGCAAGCACCTCACATGTATGCAGAGAAAGTCAGCAGCTCGGGCCCTGCCTGCCTCGAGCTTTTGACCTTATCTTGTGCAGGCCTCACAACCTCCACCTTATCCCTGTTGCTCCAGAGGAGCTGGAGGCTTTGTTGGCCACTGTACCACCTGATAGGGTTGCTGAGAGTCAAAGCTGCTCGACGACACCTCACACACGTGCACATAAACACACACACACATACGCCTGCATGCTGGCACACGTACAAGCTTTCTTTGAACTCTGCCTTCATGCAAGCTTGTGAGTTCTTGCCATGGACTTGTATGCTTCGGACTTTCCACATTTGTCTAAAAAGATTCCAAGTTGAATTATCCCAGTGCCTACCCTGAAAATTCCAGAAAGCAAGGATGAGGCATGAGGGGAGGGACAGACTGCATTCACAATGAGTGTCAACATTTCCATTTTAGAACAGGAAATTCAATCTCCCCTTGGAAAGCCTATTTTACCCTATTGGCTTTAGGAGTCTGGGTACTGTTCTCTCAAGGTTTCTGTTAGGTTACTTTGACAGCTTCTTCTGTAGTAGTTGTTGTTATGTGCTGTGGAGTCAGAACTGACTCTTCGCTCGCCCTCCAGCAAGTTCTGTGTCTGTAAGTCTTACAGGAGGAAATTGCCCATCTATCTCCTGTGGAGCAGCTGATGGACTCAAACCACCTGCCTTTGGTTGGCAGAGCAACTCCTTACCCACAAGGCCACTAGAATGTCTGTAGTCACTACAGAGTGACTATAGGCCACTGGTCTCTAGGGTTTGTAGAGGGACGAGCATTTGCCGGGCTGAAGTCCCTGCCCGAAACATGCCTTTTGTAGTTCTGATTTCCTGCACTCATTGGATCACTGCATGCACTGCTCCGACTTGCAGGTTTCTCTAAGGGAGCTCTTCCTTCATCTCTCTCAGGTCATTTCCTTGGTTTTTGCTCTTTATCTCAGAGAATTTCTACTGGAATTCTTCCTGTGGTAGTGCAGTTCTGTGGAATCACACGCTAAAAACAGGATGTGACTCACCCACATCTACTGCTGCCTGCCATGATGAGCCTGTTTCTTTCTAAGAAGTGTGTAAATTGCACATAGTCAAGGAACTGCAGACAGTGACACCAGCAGCTTCATCTGTGTGGGACTGAGGCCGGCATGAAGTTTCACAGAAGTTAATTTTAGAATTCCAAATGTATCCCAGAGAAGTAGATTTTCAAAGGAGATATAAGATATAGCACCCAACTCGTGCCTTTATGTGAAAAAGCCCTCAGGAGGTAGACTAAATGAGGACATATTGTTAGAAAAAGAGAGCCAAACACTGAGTAAGTGGCTTTGTGTTTGGGGCCTGAGCCTGGGTAAGGGGTCTTGAGTCTTCAGCTGCCCTGCGTGGTGACCACGAGGGTCTTGGGAATAGTGGCTGCAACCCTTTCCATTTGCCTTGAACTGGGAAGGTCAGGAACGTCAAGACTGAATATAATCAGACCGTGTAATTCTAGTTTCATGAAAAGAGCTTGATAAACCAAAACTTTGTTTCTATAAATTAATGCACACATTTTCTTATTTCCTTTAAATGCGAATGAGAAGCAAAAGTAAGCTATTGTTCACTGGTCCAGACTGAATGTTTGGTTTACTCAGGAGGTAAATGGAGATGACAGCAGCTCAAAAGAGGAAATGAGAAAGCCTTTTTGATAACATGTAATAAACTGTTTTTCAAGGTTCACATGTTTGTTATTTTTAGTGAAGAGGATGCACAGTTGGGTGAGAAAATACAAACTTGAATGAGTGCATACTGTGTTAAAACTGAAACTGCACTCAGAAGGCATAATGTCCAGATGTTGACAGTGGGGACTCGGGAGGAGTGGGAGCACAGGTAACGTGGAGGACACGGCTGGTGTGTTTATCTACAGAGAGCATGTCTTCCTTTATAACTCAGACGGAGAGAGCTTTGAAGAAGCCTGTCCCCTTCCGTAGACTGCAGCATCTTGGCCCTGCCCTGCTCCCTTGCCCAAGCTCCCTGTCAGAGTGCCCAAAGCTTCATAAGGCACCTCTGCATCCCTGAGCCTTGGCCACTCACATCTGTTCTACAGTGTGGACACTAGCCATGCCGTGGCTTCCTTGCTGTCCTTGGGTCCACTTTGTGGCATGTTTTCAAGTGTGGTCTGAATGGCTGGGTGTGCCCCACTTGAAGAAACTTAAGTGTTAGGAGAAGGATACTTTCAAGGAGGGAGTGGTTATGTACTTACCCCAAAATTATTCTGCAAAACAATTTACACACAGGATTCTAAATTCTTCTACATGTTTAACCTGAAAGTTAGCATAAGCATTACATAAAATGGAGCATGTGCGATCTAAATTTTCCTGTGATTTTTATCTTATAGGGAAAGGGGTAGTTGGCCATTAATAGAACATCCTTTGTCTTAGATGTTTGGCTGGTGGCTTAGCAGAAGGAGCATGCAAACTTTTAATGAGTGGTCTTTTTCTTAAACAATGTGGTAGTTTTTCTTGGGTTTGTTTCTTTTAAAATAACAATCATGGACACCTTATTAGTCCTTCCCACAACCTTGTGAGGTAGGGCTGCCCTGGCTGCTCCAATTCACCACTGTGACCATTTAGGAAGCCAGAGACAATGTGTGGTGAGGACGCACGCACAGTGACCCAGGCAGCCTGGCCCTGGAATCAGCTTCACTCCCTTCTGTCAGTATTGTGGTTGATGGTCCACCTCATGCTTAAAGTTGGTAGTTTGAGTTGGCTGGATTACGTCTGCACAGGTAAATGTATTTGTGGTAAGAGACTTTGGTCGTCAGACAATTAAATGGAAAGTTCTGAAAAGGAACTTTGTAAATCAAGACTGACCACAAAACCCCAGGAAAACCCCACAGATGTTATTAGCGCCTCTCCTTCCTCCTCCTGGGCTCTGAGGGGCCACAGAGTGAATTCATCTAAGCTCCTTGGCTGACCTGCTTGTCAAGGGTTAGGTCCCTTTTTCCTGAGAAGCATTGAGCTCACCTTCAGAGGTGAGCCTGTGCAAGCCCAGGGTGACCTGAACGTGATGGTCCTGTCCTAGCAAGACACTGGCAGAGGAGCACTGGAGTAACAGGTTTGCTCTCTGCAGAAATGAAAGCTACTAGCCCACCCTCTTCAAGAGGCTCAAAGGCTTTTGGAACAGACACAGTGATATTGCTAAAAAAAAAAAAAAGAGAAAATGTGTCCCCTCCTGACCACGCCCATCCAGCCAACTCTTCACAGCATATTTTTGGGGTTAAAGTTCTACAGTGGTGTTAGGGACACAAGGACAGGAGTGACTGCTATCTTGCGGCCGGGCCAGGCTACTCCGTGGAGTTAGAAAGGCTGGTGGCCAGGGAACAGTTGGCTTTTCCTTGCTGACCTGCAGTGAGCAGTCTGAGATGTCTTTCCTTGGTTAGGGGTAAACCACTCAACCTTCAGTAGCAGAAGTCTGGTTTTGGAGTAAAGTTATTGGCTGGACCACTCATCTTTGATCCTTCTCTTTCCTTCCCAGAAAGGACTTAAGTGTGAAATACCCCCAAGATCTTCCCATCACCCTCCCGAATCTGCTCAAGTTTATCCTGCACCACTCAAACCCCGAGCCTGCGCCCCAAAGCCTGGCGAACCCCACGACCAAAGAATGTCAGCAGAGCGAGGAGGCGCTGCAGCAGGGGCACATCTCGCACCTGGAGCGGGAGATCCGGAAGCTGAGGGCGGAGCTCCGCGCCCTGCACAGTGCGCAGGCGCAGGTGGAGGCGCAGCTGGCTAGCGCGCGGCGGGACGAGCACCGGCTGCTGCGCCAGAAGCAGACCCTGGAGCAGCAGCACAGCCTGCTCCGGCTGCACAGCGAGCAGCTGCAGGCGCTGTACCAGCAGAAGACCGGCCAGCTCGAGGAGGTGGCCCGCAGGCTGCAGGAGCTGGCCGACGCCTCCGAGAACCTCCTCACCGAGAACGCCTGGCTCAAGATCCTGGTGGCCACCATGGAGAGGAAGCTGGAGGACAAGGAAGGCGCCGAAACGCTCGCCACACCAAAAGAGGCCCACACCGACCACCCTGAGCCCGTGGGGGAACCCCGGGTTCCTGGCGGCAACCCTCCCTCCTCCAACGTCAGCGCCACGCTGGCATCAGAAAGGAGTCATGAAAACAGGACAGACTAACTTAAAATTTTAAAACATGAAGAAATCAAAGGGGAAGACTGTATATTGGGAATATATTTATGCAAATTTTATTGAAATTTATTGTAAATAAAGATTTTCTCAGTGGTCTAGAAAATCAGCATGAACGTCTTTCAACTTTTATTGAACAGGTACCACCCCCCTCCCACTTATTGCACAAACTTGGTGGCTTTGAAACAAAAACAGTAGCATAGTCTACGTGAAGGTTTGTCTGAAAATTTAGTCCATGTTTTCCAGGCTTAGTGTCCAGGGTTCCCTCCACTCCCTTGCTGCTGCTTCTGGGATGATTGAAAGGGTCACTTCTTGACTGGCTGGTCAGAAAGCTTGAGTGCAGTAGACAGCTCTTCAGCAAGATTTCAGTACTGGGCCTTTCAGGTTGTGGCTCTAGTGTTACTACACATGGGGAAAAAGTGACTACTGATAACGAGGGCAGTTTGGCTAGTTTACCAGCTCAATGGGCATCTTCACCTTCTTCCCAAAGACCCCCCACCCCCCAGCTGACACCCCTGGTGGGCCTGGTTCACACCATTGAGATATCATCTCAGCTGCCCAGTTGGGCTAGGTCAACCCCAAAAACCAAAACTGCCATCAACAAGTTTTAACAAGGAAACTTCATGGGCAAGTCCAAAGTTCCTTCTTTTCTATAAAGGATTTAATTTCTCCTTCATATTTGAGAATGAGTTTTTCTGGCTACATTATTCTTCATTGTTAATCATATTCTTTCAACATTCTGTATATACAACTCCATTTTCTTCTTGCTTGCATGGTTTCTGCTGAGAAAATAGAACTTAATATAATTGTTTCTTCTTTGTAAGTGCCTGTTTTCCTCATGCCTCTTCTATTAGTCTATCTTTATCTTTTATTTTAGACAATTTGACTATGATATGCCTGGATGTTTTGCTTTTTGCATCTAGTCTATTTGGTGTTTGCTAAGCTTCTTGAATGTTGATTTCATAGTTCTTCATGATACCTGGGAAATTTTCTTCTAATACTGTTGCAGACCAATGGTAAAGTATTTTTATAAGTATCAATAATGAGAGAGAACATGAAGAATGTATTGTGTGAATGTACCATAATTTCTCAATCTATTCTTTTGTGATTGGACATTTGGGTTGTTTCCATGTTCTTGTGATGGTGAATAGTGCTGTTACCAATGTTCACAGCAGCATTATTCCACATATTATCATTTCAACACTTCAAAGGTGAAAGCTTTCTTTACTGAATTAACTTAAGATTTTAAGTATAGTTATCTTGGTTGTACTTGCTGCTTTACATAAAATTTTGAGGGATCATTCAGTCTTAGACTGTGGCATAGACCATACTGAGCTATCCTGCTAAGTCAAAGACACCTTAGACCTCTTGATTTGACTCCACCCATGGCTCTGAGGAAGAAAAATGAGCAATCTCCTCTCATTTTCATTTACATCAGAAATCTAATTGATTTGTTTCTGACTCTTAAACAAATCTCATCTGAAGTCCACTAATTCCACGAGTAGCACAAAACCAATTTCTAAGAGGTCAGACATGTGCTACACTTTTGAAACTTCTATCAGTCCAAACTTTTTCTCTATGGCTCTTAATACTACTGGATGTACAGTGACCACATAGAATTTACAGACAATTATTCATTAATAAGAGGTTTATTAGAAAAGTAACAGGTTTGAATTTAGGTGAGAAACATTCAGGGAATAATTCTTCAGTAGGACAGTTTCTTCCTAGGTATTCTCAGAGGTAGACCTCCCTCTAACTTTCAGCTTTTTGGGGCTTTAATTTATGGCTTTGGACCAGTGTCATAAAGCTATTTTGGTTCTGTCAATTGTGGTACCTCGTGCCTGCTCAGTCTCTGCCAATGAGCCTAGACAAACTCTGGCTTCATGGGGCAGCAGTTCTAAGTCAGCTCCGTCTCAGATCAATCTTTGATTTTTCATCACCCTACTGCTACTGTTATTGCTGGTGGTGGTCAGAATTTCAGTTTGGAGCAGGAATCTAGGGCTCACAAGGATAGGCTTTCCTCTCTGTTTCTTCTTTATTGATAATAACAAAAGTCCCATTTTCTGCCTCTAAATCCATTCAAAGTAAGCCCAGCAGGACAGTAAAATTAACTTTAATAGTTTATACATGTTAGTTATTCTCATGTTCGCATCTAAAAAGTGCCATGAACTGTATTTAAATTTTTAACAAGCTAACTAATTTTAGGGCATGGGCTGGGCACAAAAACCCTACATTTGTAGAGTTCTACCCAGCCATGAGATAAAATAAAAAGCAATGACTAAAAAAAAATCACATTATAATGACCATTATTATGACCCATTATAGTACCAAAGTTGATGGCCAAATCCAGATGAGCTGTAGGATGACATCCAGGTCTTCAAAACATGAAGAAAAGAGCCTCACTTCTGACGATCAAGTCAATTTTGGCTCATAGCAATGCTCCATTGAATTTCTGAGGCTGTAAAATCGCAATAGGAGTAGAATCCTATCTTTCTTCTGGTGGCAGAGGAACTAGTAGATTCAAACTGCTGCTAGAGATAAGCAGCTTATGTCATAGCAGGAGAAATTCTTTATAAAATAAGCCACAAGAATTCCCTTTTAAGAAAGCAAAAGCAAAAAGTTGTTAATGAGACAAGAAAAGACAAAATAATATGCCACAGTGGAAGGCAGTGTGGCACTTTCTCAGAAAGCTGGAAATAGACATACCATTTGACTCAGCAATTCCACTACTAGGAATATACCTAAAAAAAACCAGAACTTTTCCCTCCCCCAAACAGATATATGCACACCCATGTTTATTGCTGTGTTATTCACAAAAGCAAAGAAATGGAAGCAACACAAGTGTCCATCAACAAATGAATGGATAGAAAACTATGGTTTATTGACACAATGGAAAACTAAGCAACACTGAAAAACAAGATATTACATAACCTGAGTGACCATGGAGGACATAAAGCTGAGTGAAATGTCTCAGTCATAAAAGGACAAATACTACGTAACACCACTGTTATGAAACAGAAGGAGATGGAGGTTGGGGCAAAATTAAGAAAATAGGGGATAGATAATGAATACTGCATTGGAACAGATGAAGGAAAGAACTGTTTAAAAGGGATATATGATTAGGGATTATACATTCAACAACAGCCCAGAATAAGAAGTACATTACAAAGGTTCCTGGGGGAATTAGGAGTGAAGTAATTGTGTAACAATGAACAAATTTTGTTATTGTTGTTATTATGTGCCATTGAGTCACCTGCAACTCATAACAACCCTATGTACAACAGTTCTAAACTCTACCCCCATTACCCCGGTCACTGAATTAATCTATTTTATCCCGGGTCTTCTTTTCTTGTGCTTTGCCTCCACCCTCCCACACAGAACATCCCTCTGCAAGGACTGGTCTCTCCTTGCAATATGCCCAAAGTATGTCAGACAAAGCTTCAGAATCCTTGTCTCCAAGGAGCAGCCTGGTCTCACCCTACCTAGGTCAAATTTTTGTGTTCTTCTAGTCAATCATGACGTATTCAATACTCTTCTCCAACCACAGCTTAAGGGCATCAATTCTCCTTCTATTATTCCTGGGCATTGTCCAGCTTTCTGATATAAAAAAAAAAGTCAGCTAGGGAGAGGGGGGAAAGGAGGGAGAGGGAGTAAAATGTGAAACAATGAATTAATGAAAATCTAACTTTTCTGTGAACTTTCATTAGAATCACAGTTAAAATAAAATTTTAATTTTTAAAAAAATACCAAAACTTGTTGAAACTTGTTCAGGATCTTAGTTTTAAAACATGAATATCAACATCTATTTTAGAAGTTACTAGATTTAAATAAGTTAAAACACACAGTAGGCCAAGATGGTAACTTTTTAATTTTATATTGGTTTGAATAAACAAGAAAAACATACATTATATTGCACTCATGTGTACTGTATTTCACACCTTCCTTCATTCACAATTTGGTTCATATGATCATTCCCATGCACTGTGTTTTATAATTTTGATCACCGTTGATGCTCACTATCACCTCATTCTTTCAGATCCCTGACAGATCTATGCTAACATACAGATCTATCTGTCCCTCTGTCCACCAAACACTGTGACCCCATGATTCCCTCCTCCCCACTCTCGGCCTCCCTGATCCTCTCCCATCCCCCTTTTTGACTTTCATTCATATCTTACTAGCCACAGTTCTGTTTTTACAATAATAGTCTTATGCAGTATTTGTACTTATGAGATTGATTTTTTTTAGTCAGTGTAATGCTCTCTAGCCTCTAATATTATATAGTATTTTACAAAGTCATTGCCTGTAAGTGCTGCATAGTATTCCAAGATGATAACTTTTGTTGTTAAGTATCATTGGGCTGGATTTTATGTGCAATCCTATGTACAACAGAAAGAATAACTACCTAGTACTTTATCATCCTCACGATTAGTGTGAACCTACCGTCAAAGGGATATACATTAAAGAGTTCTGTATAGCATGTCCAGTGAGCTTGTGGAAGAAAATATTCACTTGCTTGGGGAGTATGGGATATTCTTTGTGTCTGACAGGGCACTTGAGCTAAGGCTTTGAAGATGTCAAGAATCATTTAGACTGAAATTCACATAAATATAGGTAACCTCTTTTCTTAATTTTGGGGAGCTCTGGTGGCTTAGTCCCCTGCCAACACAAAACCATACAGTTTGACTCCACCAGCTGCTTTGCAGGAGAATGGTAGCCAATCTCCTGTGTGATTTACTGTCTCTAAAAATCTATTGGATGGCCAGCTATACGTCAGTTTGAATTCAACAGTTGTTGTTGTTATGTGCCGTCAAGTCGCTTGCGACTCATAGTGACCCTATGTACAACAGCCCTAAACCCTGCTCTATCCTGTGCCAATCACACTTCCTCTGATACACCCATCCTGATTACCCCAGTCACTGAATCAATCCACCTCATAGAGGGTCTTCCCCTCCTGCGCCGTCCCTCCACCCTACCAAGCATGATGTCCT